ATGAAATGATAGAGAATCTTTTCCTGATCATAATGACACCAAAAGTATGAAATTTGATGGAAAACTTACGAAATTATGCTCTCGCGAAGTTAGCGGTTTCGATGATGTTTACGCATCCGCGATTTCGCCCACTCTTAGCCCTATTTTGGGCCAATTTCACTGTACTAGTCGATAAAAATCATATCTATTTCGCTAGAACTCCATTTTTTTCTATCGAATGAGTAAAAGAAACCACCAATTTACCGATTTCAACTATCCAATAAAGTGGTCAGAAACTGGCAATTTTGCCAATTTCACACAAATTTCGGAAGATGTCAATTTCCAAATAGGGTCCAGAATAAGCAAGGCAGACATTCCTGGCATTAAAATAACATTCTCTCTGTTCATTAGTCACATCCCAAGGCCCCTCTTACTTCTCTCTTGCTTTCCACTTTGAATTTTTATTCTCACAAAAAATAGAAGATTTACTGTTATGCAGACTACTGCATTAGTGTAGAAATGGTATAAATAATATCAGTGCACTTGTGAAAGAATATTAGACTCACCAGCTGACGTGTATTGGACGCTTGGCATGATTTGTTTACTTTGGAAATTTGGTAAAAATTGAACGTTTCTGCTACTTTGAGCTTAATTTCAAGGTACAGGAAAGAGTAAGGTTATGAGGATAACAAAAAGATTAGGTGATGAAAGATTGGATATCAGATTGAAGGGAAGGAGTATGGAGGAGGTGATGTATTCAAAATTTTTAAATAGAGTGGACGTGTCAGCAGATGGGCCTATGAAAGATGAGGTGAATCATAGAATTGATGAGGGAAAAAGGGTGAGCAGTGCACTTAGGAGTCTGTGGAGACACAGAACTTTGTCCCTGGAGGCAAAGAGGGGAATGTATGAGAGTATAGTTTTACCAATGCTCTTATATGGGTGTGAAGCATGGGTGATGAATGTTGCAGCGAGGAGAAGGCTGGAGGCAGTGGAGATGTCATGTCTGGGGCAATGTGTGGTGTGAATATAATGCGAGAATTCGTAGTTTGGAAGTTAGGAGGAGGTGCGGGATGCCAAACTGTTGTCCAGAGAGCTGCGGAAGGGGTTTTTGAGGCGGTTCGGATATGTAGAGAGAATGGGGCAAAACAGAATGAAATTCAAGAGTGTATCAGTCTGTAGTGGAAGGAAGGCAGGGTAGGGTCGGCCCAGGAAAGGTTGGGGGGGAGGGGTAAAGGAGGTTTTGTGTGCGAGAGGCTTGGACTTCCATCGGGCATGCGTGAGCGTGTTGGATAGGAGTGAATGGAGACAAGTGGTTTTTAATACTTGACATGCTGTTGGAGTGTGAGCAAAGTAACATTTATGAAGGGATTCAGGGAAATTGGCAGGCCGGACTTGAGTCCTGGAGATGGGAAGTACAGTGCCTGCACTCTGAAGGAGTAGTGTTAATGTTGCAGTTTAAAAACTGTAGTGTAAAGCACCCTTCTGGCAAGACAGTGATGGAGTGAATGACGGTGAAAGTTTTTCTTTTTCGGGCCACCCTGCCTTGGTGGGAATCGGCCAGTGTGATAATAAAAAAAAATAATGAAAAAAAAATTTCATTATGAAACCAATCAAAAATCATCTCAATTTCTGTAATATGTCTTCCATTCTATAAAATGAGACCAAGAAAACTAGAATACACCCATAAATACCAAACAAAAGTACACTGCAAAGTCGCTGTTTTAAACCAAAAACACAGTCGGAGTTTTTTTTTCTCATTATGCACTGTGTGCTGCAGGATTTTTTTTATACCGTGCACACTGACCACATAGACCCATTCTTTCATATGTAGGCCTACAAGCTCTCTCACTAGATTTGAAGGCGTTTGAATTTAGGCGTTCTAGTATGTCAATAACCCTGGTGCATAAGCCGTACTAGTACGTCAGAAACCCTGAAAGGGTTAAAGTAGTAGTAGTAGTATTGTATGATATTTCCCTACAATATACTGGGGCACCAAACATTCGCGATTTTTCAACATTCACAAGGCTCTTGATCCTCTAACCCTTGCGAATGTTGAGGAAGATGTATATGTTAGTGTAAACGTGTTATCTGGCGTTTATATGCATTTTTAAGTGGAAAAAATGGCATTCTGTTTTCCTGCAATGTCTGCTTTCCAGCAGTAGCATGGAACCTAATCTGCCGTATAAGTGGGGCCCTACTGTATTAAGTGGTTTTAACAATAAACATCTTCATCGAGTTTAAATTTTTCAAAGAATACAGTCTGGCTTATGATTACAGACAATGAGGTTTCAAAGTGTTTTGAGAAGATTCAATATATTTAATTGTTGTGAGGATTACAGATTATGAGAGGATGGAATACATCACTTAATGTTAAACAGCTTGATAAAGGATACCTGACTAATGTTTCTATAAATTAAAATGAAAGCAAAAGAATAACACTAATACTGTTCTTTAATTTATTATAACAAATGAGTTACCTGTGTGCTAAGGTCCTTGGATTCTTGCTGAAGTTGTGCAGTAAACGCAGCTACATTCCTATCATGATTTTTGAAGCGTGCTAGTTCTTCAGCACTTAAATCTTGCTGTGCTTGAAGATTTTCTAAGCGTGTTACTTCTTCTTGGCGCTGGAAAATAGTTATTTATGCAAATTTCTAATTTACTATATTTTTTTTTTACAGATCAATAGAGTTTGTTTTTTGAAATGAATAAGACTAAAATGAGTGAAATCTGATCAAAATTATATGAATTTATAATGTTGAAGGTGGTGAAAAAATGATCACTAATCAGCAACTGCAGCATTAAAGTGCCAGCAATGTTTACATTTTATATCAGATGTGTTTCGAGGTGTTTTAGCACTTCAAAAATTTCTTCACTTAGAATAATCTGTATTGTATGTACAGAATGACTTTTACCATTTTTGTCTTGTAATGCTATGCACAAGGAATACTTACAACATTACAATTGCTCGAGTGTAATACCCCTCAAAACATGGAAATTATTCACGTTGTTTGACTCTACCGGGTTATATGCCTAGTGTTTTGTGGATGAATTCCACTAATAGTATCACGAAATTTTAATAAACTTGGACTGAATAAGTCATCTTTGAAACACTTGTACATACTGTTTGCTGATAGGTTAGCTGGTGGTGGAACAACACCTCCTGGTTCCTTTGTTTACTCCTGCTAGCAAGGCTTACTAATACATTGGGCATACAGGCATCCCCTCAGTAGTTAACCATGATACATTGTGTGCACACTGTTGGCTACAGATATTTTTCAAATATATGAATAGAGATAGAAAACCCAAATAGCTGTCCTGATGTCAAAAATACTTGCAGGTGGCAAATTGTTGGGTACATAAAATGGTGTGTACCAGTACATCAGACACGATACCATCATCTGTGTACTAGTGCATCGAATATGGTACCATCACCTACGTACTAGCGAATCACACAGTACCACCACCTGTGTACTAGTGCATTGAACACTGTACTATCACCTGCGCACTAGTGCGTCAGACACAGTACTACCACCTGTACACTAGTGCATCAGAGTACCATCACCTGCGCACTAGCACGTCAGACAGTACCATCGCCTGCGTACTAGTACGTCAGACAATACCATCACCTGTGTACTAGCACGTCGGACAGTACCATCACCGGTGTACTAGTAGGTCAGACAGTACCATCACCTGTGTACTAGTATGTCACACAGTTAAAGGGTTAAAACTCCAGACAAGTGCATAAGCCACTCTGCCAGTTGTCAGAGTGGTTTATATGCTGGTCAGCAAGTTTTTCGACTCACCATGGGCTCAAATCTCACCTGTTCCGTGGTTTGTTTGTAATTGTGTTATTACTATTTCATGAGACCTCATATATTGCTCCCCATCATTGCTTTCTCAGCACATACCATGAATTCATTTTAAGCTTAAGTCCCTTCACAGCCAGTCCCAAAGAAGTATCCAGCAAAGTTCAATTTAATTTTTTTTTTTTTTGTAGAAGACTCAACAAAAATTTAAATTAACAGGGCCTCTTAAGAAACATGATTAGCCAAAATGTACAGATTGGCATGTAAATTAAGCCACAATGTGGTGTATGGCATAAACCACATATTGTCTCATTATAACTCGGGGTAAATAGAACTAAAACAAAACAAAACAAAAAAAAGCTATGCATGTATAGTGACAAGATACCATAGTTCTGATGCAGATGCTGCCGAGACCCTCTACAAGTTATGTAACACCAGACATCTCAGATGATATTCTGATTATTATTTTATTAAAAATGCACTAAACATGCAGAGGTCACATGATATTCTCAAAATCTGGGAAAAAAAAAAAAAACTCCAATATTCATTGGAAAATCAGTTTAGCAAAGATTGAATGGACCTATACAGAGGATCCTACACTTACCAAGGAGATGCATTCCTGACAATCATTTGTAAATAATGCTGAACTCTGCCTATTTTTCCATAGAGGCCCACGTTATAAAAGTCAGCCATCACTGATCCGGCAATCACTAATCAGGTTTTACGGGATTATTTATGGGGTATTTTAAAGGTAGGATGAGGTGGTTAGCTGTTGAGTTAGTGTATTCTAACCCAACCACTCTGATCAAGCAAAATCACAAATCCAGCACCCTACAGGTCCCAGTGATGCCAGATCTGTTATTGGAGATGCATTTCCTAGCAATATTTCTTGCCCAATTTAATTAATTACAAAAAAAAAAAAAAAAAATTACTGTACTAGCCTGTAGTGGATTCCTCTTTCTTCTATCCTTTTCCCACTCTTTCCTTCCTTCCTTCTCCCATTCCATCCCATCATCCATTCCCTTTCTTTTTGTCCCATTGTATCTAACAACACTTTTACATATGCTTTCATCCTCCACTGTTGCAGTGACAGGGCAAGTACAGAATCCGAGTATAGGGCAAGAGAGAGGATGCCTAACATGTGTGAGGGTTGTGTATATTAAAAATGCAGTACAGTATACATGCTAACTTTATAAGACATACCTTTGATAAATCTGCTTTCCTTTCAGAAAGCATAGATTCCAATTTTCCTTTTTCACTTTCCTTGTTAGAGATATGGACTCGTAGTTCATGGCAGTACGCAATCATCTTCTCATTGTCACTTTTAATCTGTCAAGGCAATATATACATGGATGTATTTAATTAGTTTTTACTCTCAACAGTATATTACACTAGTTTTTACTAGGTTTTAGCCAACAGTTCAACAAATTCAAGGGAGGTTAATCCTATTCCTTTCTAGTATTTATTTAGGCCAAACAAGAAATTTCATATTATGGAATTAACCACTCGAGGGTCCATGCTATTCCCACATGTTTCAAGCCCTGGCCCGTGCCGTTCTACTGTGCAAGCTCAGTTCACTCATAAGCTGTGAGCGGTAAATTTGAGCCTAGATGTGAGAGTGGGGATCTGTGGTAAATGTGTACCAAAAAAAAATCCTGCAGCATGCAGTGAATAACGAAGAAAAAACTTCGATCGTGTTTTTGGTTTAAAACAGCAACTGTGGTGTATTTTTGTTATTATTTTTATGGTTTTTATTCATGGTTTCTTGGTCTCATTTGATAAACTGGAAAATCTATTACAGAAATAGGGATAAATTTCATTGGTTTTAGGAGTGAAAATAGCTTGAAACCGAGCTCAAACTAGGGAAATGTTTGATTTTCCTGATGTTCAAGATTAAAATAAACAAATAACATCACGCATCCAATACACGTCAACTGGTGGGTCTATATGCATTCATGAAGGTAATGATGCTATTTATTACAATACAGCCTCTCCTCACTTAACGACTGAGTTCTGTTCCTGTGACCGCGTCGTTAAACAAATTTGTCGCTAAGTGAGGAGCATGCTATAATGGTAGCGAGTTTGTGTTCACTATCTTTGATACTGTTATAATGTCACCTTTGCACCATTTATAACATTTTTGGTATATTTTTTAAATGTTTATACCGAGTGTACTGTATACTGAAATAAACAGAATAGAGGAAAATCAGCTCTAATATACATTATTTAGGTATGAATACTGGTCATAGAGCCCACTGTAAGTCCGAGGCGTCAGTAAATGAGTACGTTGTTAAGAGAGGAGAGGCTGTATTGCATAACAGCACATCTTCAATGTGTAAATAAAACATCAAAATGGAATTCATAGGTAAAGCCAGGAAATGTAACTAATTAACAGAGGAAAATGTTATTTAGTGCCAGGAACGCCTGCACTGTTTATTCTGAACCCTATTTTGAAACTGGAATACATTATGAAACTGGTGTGAAATTGGACAAATTATCAATTCCTTATCACTTTACTGGGTAGCTGAAATTAGTTGATCGGGCAGTTTCTTGTGCTCAGTCACTAAAATGGAAGGCATATAGCAAAATAGCAAAGAATTTGGTCAACTGGAACAATGTGATTGGCCTAAAATAGGACAAAGTGGGCACAATCACCAATGTGTAAGTATCGCTGATGCAGTAAATTTCACAATAGCTTGTAGTCAATTTTCCAAATCAAATTTCATACTTTTTGTTTTATTACTTCAGAAAAAGATTCTCTACCATTTCATAAGAAAAATTAATATTTTATTCTTAATTCCTGGACCCTGTGGACAAGTTTCAGATCGGGGGAACAGGACTCTCAAAGGGTTAAGGGATACTTTTAGAAACGTAACTCAGTTTCCCACAAATCTGGCTGAAAATTTTCTGCTATATACAGTACTATTAAGTTACTCTTAAACTTTCATTCCAGTCAGTGTTACATTCAGTATTAGGCATCTTTTTCTCTAGCTTTAGTTTATTTTGCCAAATTGAAGAAAACGACCCCCAACAAGCTTTAATATTTTCCCCACATGTCACTTGAGGCCTTGTCAATTTTCTCATATTGCACAAGTTGTCAGCAAGTTGCTCACTCACAGGGCAGAGATTAGAACAGTACTGACGAGTCCACGCATTTGTGGGTTTAATATTATAGTACTAAAGACCAAGCAAGACAGCAAAGTACATCTATATTTGGAATACAGTACCATCTGACTTAACAACTGAGCTTGGTTCCGACGAACTGGTTGCAAGTCAAAATGGACGCATGTCAAACCTTACTACTGAATATCAACATCACATTTTTGTAATGATTTTTTTTGTTTTATTTTGGTATTTCATTTTTTACTTTACCTTTTAAGGTGGTAGTACTGTATTTTATACTGTAAGGTTTAGGATAAACACTGTGTACAACACAAACAGTTGTTTTATTTTTCCCCGAAATTTGGCATACAAAAAAATGGTCGTAAGTCAAGTGGTCGTATGTTGAGCAGGTCGTAAGTCAGGTGGTAGGTGAATATGTGTACACAAAAAGGTTTTTTTTGGAACAAGTCAGTTGAAATATGATTAGATTACAAAAACATACAAACCAAGCTGTACATATGGCAGAAAATACAAAGCTATGAGTAAAAACACTACATAAACACAAGTCTTTATTATAAGTTTTACTCATGACAAGCTGTATTGAGTCCATGTAACTTGACAAAGCTTGTTCAAAGCATAACTACAAAAATCAAATCAAACTAGAAACTAACACTGCCTGCTCAACAAAAATCAAGCTTAGTACCCAGCATCCATATACAAGCACCATCCGACTTATGACCGAGTTCGGTTCCGACCAACCGGTTGCAAGTCGAAATGAACACAAGTCGAACCTTACTACTGAATATCAACATCACATTTTTGTAATGACTTTATTTTATCGTTTTATTTTGGTATTTCATTGTTTACTTTACTTTTTATGCTAGTAGTACTGTATTTTATACTGTAAGGTTTAGGATAAACACTGTGTACAACACAAACAGTTGTTTATTTCCCAGAAATTTGGCATAAAAAACACAGCCGTAAGTCGAATGGTCGTATGTCAAGCAGGTTGCAAGACGGATGGTATGTGTACAGTGGTACCCTGGGCTACGAACAGCTCAAAACTTGAACAATTATGTAATTGTATTTATTTAACCCTTTGAGGGTCGACAGGCCCTCTCCGAAACTCGTTCTCAGGGTCGGCCAAATTTCAAAAAAAAAAAAAATTATTTTTTCTTATGAAAAAATAGAGTATTTTTTTCTAAACATTATAGGCTAAACAAAAAAATTTTAGCGTCAATACTTACCGAGATATGGAGGTGTGAAATTTGCCAAAATTGAACAACATATGGTAACATCGCCGACTGCCGTCACCCGGTATTTTTCTATTTACTTTTTTATGTACTATTTTCAATTTTTTTTCAATTTTTCTTTTCTGAGTAACTTTTATGGCCTCTGAGGCCAACATGATCAGTATTTTGTAAGTTATTTCTTTTTCAATACTACACAATAAGGGCGTAAACACTGTTGTCATTATTTTGTTTACAGAAAATATTTACACAAACAAACAATATGAAATGTTGTTTATTACTATTTTTCTATATTTTATATACACATATACAGTCACAGGACATGTTTCTAGAAGTTCTGCAGCCTGTGGAACTCTTTGAAACATGGTGTCATGCACAGTGGAGTTTTTGCACTCCTCACACATAAAACGAGTGTCTCTGCGTTGTCGTGGGCGTTTTTTTGTATGTGAAACAGACGTAACACCTCTTCTGAGCCTTTTTCTTCAAAGCAGTAGCAGGCAGTTTTACCAGGAAGTGATCACCATGCTTCAGACGAGCAGGTAGTTGTTGATAATTTGGTGGGCGGTCAATTGCAGGTGCATTTCCTTGGTACTTGAATACTATTTGTCTGATGACAGACAAACAGAATTCGCCGTACTGTGGTTTGTTTCTGGTGCTCATCTTATACATATTATAAGCATTGAGCATGGAAATGTCCAGAAGATGGAAAAAACAGTTTGATGTACCACTTATAACTCTTGCGAACACAATCAGCAAACCCAATCTGCATGTCACATTTGTCCACTGAACGCATGTTGAAGGTGTAATCAATCACAGCTGCAGGTTTTAGAATGGGTTCATTTCTCTCTCTATGCTGCCTGCCACTGTCCTGCCATTTCATTAGGGTGAATTGATGACAACAGTGTGACATCTTGTTTGTCATGCCACCGAAATGCCACGATGTCATTGGCAGCAAACGCCTGCACCTCACCTCTGCGAGTGCCAGCATCAAACCTGGGCATATGTTTTCGATTTGCACGCACTGTGCCACACACATCTGTCATGTTCACTCACAAAAATCACTGAGTGAGGGGCTTGTGTACCAGTTATCTGTATATAATATATGCCCCTTACCAAGGTATGGTTCTATCATTGTTCGAACCACATCACCTGAGATGCCCAATAACTTCCTGGTATTTTGCAATGTATAACTTCCAGTGTACACAATAATATCCAATACCAGACCACTGTAACAATCACAAAGCACAAACAACTTTATACCAAAGCGTTTCCTCTTGCTTGGTATGTACTGCTTGAAAGAGAGTCTTCCTTTGAACAGAATCAAAGACTCGTCAATTACAAGCTTCCTGAAGGATAAAAATGAGTACTGAATTTCTGTTTCAGATACACAAACACATTCCTAATCTTATATAACCTGTCAGTTCTGTCAGGCCTGGTTTTATCTGAGAAGTGAAGCATACGTAACATTAGCACAAATCGATTCACTGGCATTATATCACTGAAACCTGGTGTTGCAATCAGGGGGTCTGTTGACCAGTATGATTTCACTTTGTGCTTATAACATGTGGCATAAGCATTATTGTGGCAAAGAAAAGATACATCTCAGCCACAGTTGCCTCCTTCCATTGGTGTTAGACGTGATTTTGGTGAAAGTATTGTGTTTGCCATGGTGTACTCGTAGTATGTGTTGCTTTCCATGCAATACTTTTCATCAGTGGTTCGTCAAGAATAACTCGAAACATTCCAATCAGTGGCATTGTCCCAGTGCACAAGATGGCCGTATTCCACTTTGGCTGCCATCAAACTGGTGGGGATTTGGAACAAAATTGACAGCTTCCTTGCCAATCCCAGGTGCGGTCTGCTGTGGGTACTGGACAATGACAGGTGGTTGTGGTTGTGGAGGCTGGTGTGGTGGGTGAGTGGGGGATGGTGGCCTTTGTTCTAGATCAGCTGAGGCAGCGGCTGTGGCTGGCAGCGTGGGTGGCAGCATGGCCCACTGATGGTGCCTCACCGCCGCACCAATACCACCACGCACATTTTCCATCCCAATTGCAACAGTATCTTCGTCATTTTCACTGTCTGTTCTGTTGTACAGCCACGGGATGTACTCCGAGATACACTCCTTCCCCTTGGTATAACATATGGCACACTTCCAGAGCGCATATATCGTCGTATATTACTGACGCTTCACTGGGAATATTGCACTTCACTATCATACTGGAACTAGTTTGAAGAGCTTGTAGTTCATATTCACTATCACTATCATCACCCATGCTCTCATCTGAGTTGGGATTTGGGAAAATAGAAGTTTCCTCTTGGGTTCTGGAACAACTGAACGTGAACACGAGGGCCCAGCACCAGAGGTGGAAGGCTGAGGGTCGTCTGGGTTTTCTTCACTATTACCGATATTATGGTCATAGTTTCGGTCAAAACCTCACTAAAACCACGAAACTCATCTTCACTGGCACTTCCATCACTATTAGAACTGTCACTGGGGAACAAAAGTGTCCCAATTCGCCGAGGAGTGAGGAGCTTCTTACCGCGAGGCATGGTGGACATTGTTTACTAAGAGGGCATTCCCACAATGCACCACTGGGTCCCAGATTTTTTTTCTACCGCGCACACTGACCACGCAGACCCATTCTCTCACACCTAGGCCTATCAGCCTTTTCGCGCGAGATTTGAGGCCGCTAGAATTTATGCGTACTAGTACGTCAAAAACCCCTACGCGTAAGACGTACTAGTACGACGAAAACCCTCAAAGGGTTAAGTGCTTTTTTAAGTGTATTTATGGGGGTCTGAAACAGACTAATCTAATTTACATTATTTCTTATGGGAACAAATTCGTTTGGTATCAGCACTCGAACAGCCTTCTGGAACGAAAATAGTTCGTATCTCGAGGTACCACTGTATTTAATTTCTGAAAGTCTGAAGTCAAAGCATAGTTTTTCAAGATAACATCTAAAAACGAAGTAAACATAATGCAGTAAAACTATATATAGAAGAGCCTACAACAATGTAACCCTAGCATGGATACTTCACATTCTAAAGACACTTGTGTCATTCAACAAGTAGTTAATAAATTTACCTGTGAGTACTGAGACTGCAACTGCTGCAACCTCTCAGGTCCACTACTGAGAGTTTCTATCTCTTCTTGTAGCTGCTCATATTCTTCTTGAAAATGCAGGGAGTCTTCAGGCCGCACACCACGTGCCTTCCCCAAATGTTTGGCAATGCTCCTGTTGTTTAATTAATCATTACTTTACAGTACTAAAAATCATCCTCTTTCAACAAACCAGCTATATCCCAATGAGGCAGGGTGGCCCAAAAAGAAAAACAAAATTTTCCCTTTTTTTTAACTTTAATGTATAAAGGAAAAGGGGGTTACTAGCCTATTGCTCCCAGCATGTTAATTGCCTCTTATGACACGCTTTGGCCCTAAGCAGGAAGAATTCTTTTTCCACTTCCCAGGGAGATAAGAGGAAATAAACAAAAACAACTAGTAAGAAAATAGAAGAAAACCCAGGAGTGTATATACAGTGGACCCCCGACATTCGATATTAATCCATTTCTGAGAGCCATCGAATGTCGAAAATATCGAAAGTCAAATTAATTTTCCCCATAAGAATTAATGGAAATCAAATTAATCCGTGCAAGACACCCAAAAGTATGAAAAATAAAAATTTTACCATATGAAATATTAAGTTTAATGCAACAGAATAATTACAATAACAATAGATTAATAACATGGTGGATAGGGGGGCAATGTGGCAGATGTTGCAAGTGTATGGTGTAGGAGGTAGGTTACTGAAAGCAGTGAAGAGTTTTTACGAGGATAGTGAGGCTCAAGTTAGAGTATGTAGGAAAGAGGGAAATTTTTTCCCAGTAAAAGTAGGCCTTAGACAAGGATGTGTGATGTCACCGTGGTTGTTTAATATATTTATAGATGGGGTTGTAAGAGAAGTAAATGCGAGGGTCTTGGCAAGAGGCGTGGAGTTAAAAGATAAAGAATCACACACAAAGTGGGAGTTGTTTACAGCTGCTCTTTGCTGATGACACTGTGCTCTTGGGAGATTCTGAAGAGAAGCTGCAGAGATTGGTGGATGAATTTGGTAGGGTGTGCAAAAGAAGAAAAAAAAGGTGAATACAGGAAAGAGTAAGGTTATGAGGATAACAAAAAGATTAGGTGATGAAAGATTGAATATCAGATTGGAGGGGGAGAGTATGGAGGAGGTGAATGTATTCAGATATTTGGGAGTGGACGTGTCAGCGGATGGGTCTATGAAAATTTAGGTGAATCATAGAATTGATGAGGAAAAAGAGTGAGTGGTGCACTTAGGAGTCCCGTGGAGACAAAGAACTTTGTCCCTGGAGGCAAAGAGGGGAATTGTATGAGAGTATAGTTTTACCAACGCTCTTATATGGGTGTGAAGCGGGGGTGATGAATTTTGCAAACGAGGAGAAGGCTGGAGGCAGTGGAGATGTCATGTCTGGGGCAATGTGTGGTGTGAATATAATGCGAGAATTCGTAGTTTGGAAGTTAGGAGGAGGTGCGGGATTACCAAAACTGTTGTCCAGAGGGCAGAGGAAGGGTTGTTGAGGTGGTTCGGACATGTAGAGAGAATGGGGCGAAACAGAATGACTTCAAGAGTGTATCAGTCTGTAGGGAAGGAAGGCGGGGTAGGGGGCGGCCTAGGAAGGGTTTTGGGGGAAGGGGTAAAGGAGGTTTTGTGTGCGAGGGGCTTGGACTTCCAGCAGGGATGCGTGAGCGTGTTTGATAGGAGTGAATGGAGACAAAGGTTTTTAATACTTGACGTGCTGTTGGAGTGTGAGCAAAGTAACATTTATGAAGGGGTTCAGGGAAACCGGCAGGCCGGACTTGAGTCCTGGAGATGGGAAGTACAGTGCCTGCACTCTGAAGGAGGGGTGTTAATGTTGCAGTTTAAAAACTGTAGTGTAAAGCACCCTTCTGGCAAGACAGTGATGGAGTGAATGATGGTGAAAGTTTTTCTTTTTCGGGCCACCCTGCCTTGGTGGGAATCGGCCAGTGTGATAATAAAAAAAAAAATAATAATAACAATAGAATAATTGACGCTTACCTTTAATGAAGATCTGGTAATGATTGATGGGATGGGAGGAGAGGAGTGTGTGGATGGTGTTAGTGTTTAGAAGGGGAATCCCCTTCCATTAAGACTTGAACTGGCAGCCTCACCATGCCTTACCACACTGTGTATGCCACTACGACTCTTGAATCTTTCAAACCAACCTCTGCTGGCCATAAATTCACTCGCATCACCACTAGTTGCAGGCAATTTCTTTACCAGATCATCATGCACTCCGACACATGCACTCCACTTTCGTACTTTGCAATTATCTCTTTCTTCATTTCAATAGTCATTAGCACCTTTCTTCTCGAAGGGTTGGCACTAGAAGCTTTCTTGGGGCCCAGGGTTACTTATTCTGCAGAAACAAGCACCAAAAACAGTGATAATATGGAATGTACCGAATGTATCCTTACATGCGCGCACACTGGCTGGCTTGTAAACACTGGCACACACGGTGCAGTTCAGGCCACACGTGGACATGTCTTGTACGAATCGTATCGAATGTCGGGTTTTCCATCGAATGTAGAGGCGAAATTTTTTTGTTAAAATGCACCAAATGTCGGATTTATCGAATGTCGGGGGTCCACTGTATATGCTTGATAGTATTAATGTAACCTAAGTTAAGTAGAGGTAGC